CGGTCGGCGGCCGCTGAGGGGAAACGGAGGGAGCGGGGAAGGGGGGGGGAAGAAATGGCGGGCGGGAGCTGCCCGCCCTCTCTCCTCGCCTCTCCGCCGCCACAGCGCGCCGGTGCGGTCGGTGGTAGCGGTAACGGAGGGAGCGGGCAAGGACCGGCACCTGCCCCGGAGGGGACGGGGGGAGCTGAACTGCCTTCTGCGCTACACCGGCCTCGGCCGGAGGGCCCGGGGCTGCTCAGACCGTGGGGGGCTTCTGTTTCAATCGGAGCGAGGACATCATCGCCTTTTGGGTTCCACGGGGCGGCACCGAAATCGTCGCTTTTCGGAGGAGAGGGGGCACGGTTTTTCTTTAGAGGTACGCAGGTAATTCCTGGGGAGAATCCGGCCCCGGGCCTCTCCAACTGACCGGGTGGTAGAGGCAAAAACGCGCCAACTTCTTGCTCAAAATCCTGGATCTTTATTAATAAAATACGTCCTGGGTTTATCTTCGGTAATGCCAAAGTTTTATCAGTGCGGTTTCCCTTTCATACACAGAAATACAGGGCCTTGGGTTTCCAAAGGGGAAGGATATGGCCACCAGAAAAATACCTGAAGAATCACCTTCCAGGGATATGAGCTCTGTGTCAAAACAATAAATCTGATCACCGTCTTTGTTTCTTCTTAGCTTAATTTGCACTCTAAAGCTTCCTATCGGGTACTATGGCAAGCCTCCACCATGTATAAATGCTACGCAGTCAAATAATCCAAAAAACGCACAACGTACCAGTCCATACCTTATGCAAAGTCTTCCATACTAATTAGAACTAAAAACCCGTATCAGTTCTTTACGTAGCCTCAGCTGTAGACTGTGCAACCAGCAAACATGCTAGTAGAAATTCAAATCAATCTCAAGACTGGTCTTGCTCATTTCAGCAGGTGATCCGTACTTCAGAAGTTGCATGTTTTTAGTCCTGTAAGAAAGTGGCTTAAAAGGTTACACTCAAAAACTTGATTTATTTAAAAAAATAGTAAGGACAACGAATGCAATTTAATTCTATAGGAATGTGGTAAATAAGTTGTGTATACACACAAACACAATGAGGTAAGCTTTGGAAGTTACTTTAAACCTGATAAAGACCTGCCAGTAAGTCAAAACTCATAGAGCACAGTGAGCAAGAAAATCAGCAGCTAACACCAGCACCAACAGTGGGAGATAGTCACTCTGTCAAGAGCTGTGTAACACGCTTTTGGACTGTTATTGCTGGTATAGAGCAGAATAACTCATTTGAAGTACACTGTCTTTTAAAACACCTTTTGCTTCATTTTACTGACAGTCAAACTGATTTAGCAACATCACCATTCACCAGCGTTTTCCTTTAAAATGTTATATTCTGGCAATACACGAGCTAAAAGCTGTGTGGGCTAACACATCCTAGTTCTATGGTGTTTTACCACATCGTCCGCATCAAAGCTTTAGTTCATACATCTGTAGGATCTGTAAAAGAAGATCCCCAGATTCCACCAGAGCGGAAGCAACTCTGCTCCTGTGCCAGGCAGTGCCACACAAACAGACCAATGTGCTGTAAAAATCTCACTTCATCTACAAAGCTCAGGGACCTCCTCAGAAGGGGAAAGTAGAACCATATCACCTATTTACATTAAGGTCTGTGAAAAATAAGCTGATCAGAGCAGCTTAATAAATACTTTTTTGGTTCATGTTTTTTCATATTTGTTTACTTACCACATTAATCGCCACCAATTTGCTCTTTACAGATTCAGTAGTTGATAAATAAAGCAGATTTTTAGTCAAGATTATAAATTACAACCAACAAATTCAACAGTTCATTCTTATGTACTTCTAGTCCATATAAATTCCCACTTTACCAATAAGTGGGAAATCCTGTCCCTATTTCAGCATCTCAGGTTATTCCTGATGTTCGTGCTCCTGTCCTGGGATCAGCCACCGAATGCTCTCCGTGCGAACGGTAGCATACATGACAAAGCTAGCCAGGAAGAGCAAAGAAAACAGAAGCAGCCAGTCTATGCCTTTTGTCAGAACGCTAGGCAGGGGGCCTTCCCAGTCTTCCTCGGTCACAGCCACATCACTTTTAGCTTCGATACCTAAAAAAGCAAGCACTTGATCAACACCAGTAATAATAATTAAGTACAGAGAAGTTGGTTCTATTTGGAGCTTTGTTTTTCTTCTCCGACTAAGGCGCATCTACAGTTACGACTTAAAATTTTGGCGAGATGGTCCTTGTATGTTAACGTATATCTAGCAAACAGTTTACTTACATAAAAACATATGATCTTTATGTGTATTTTCATAATAGAAGGCTTGTTCCGTCCTCCATAGCACAGCCTTGTGTAAGTTTGGGGGGGCAGGATTGTGGAGGGGTTTTTTGTTTGAGTTGAGTATTTCTGCCATATTAGCAAATGTAACAATTTCTGGCCTCTAACGAAGGCCCTTGTAGGCCTTTTTTGTTTTGTTTTTTGTTCTGTTTTGCTTTTCTTTACAGAAGCACAGAAGGACCAGAGAGCTGGCGGGCGCTGAGCTCACAACGTGGACAGCCAGATCATGGAAACTGGAATCCATTTGTCTCCTCCAGCGCAAGAACTGAAACCGTCTTATCCCCCAGCCGCTGTCAGCCTTACATGGCGCTGGCAATGATCCTAAGGTTCACCTGCCTTTACTCCCAAATTAAATATTTGGGCAGGAAGATGTGCTGAATCCTTCTAGCACCTCTCTAGTTAAAGCCCAGTGTTTCCCCCTACTCTGTGACAGCAGCCCAATGAGTTGAGTTTCTGCTTTCAGCATGCCCTGAAATCCAGCTCACTACAGCAACTGATGAGATAAATCTCTGCCAGGTCCTCTCAGGGTCTTCACAAAATTCATTTTAAAGAACAAACAGCAGGGAGAGGAAAGCCCAGTTTGGAGCTAAAAGCCAGCCTGTTTGTCCTACTGACATCAGGGCTGATTTACATACCTGTTTGATTAAAAATGAAGTCTTTCAGTGTTTCCAGCGTTCTGTCTGTGTGATTAAATCTAGCCATAGGTTTAGCACCTTGGAAAAGGAGGATATTTGGTACAGCCACAGTTCCAAATCTAGTTGATAAACTGGTGGACATAAAGCAAATACAAAGCATGAAGGAAAAGAAATCCACTGGAGGAAGAACCAAAGATAGTCACAACTCAGGAAGTGTCAGTTTTACTAAATTAAATTGTCACTTTACACGAAAAAAAAAATTTACTCCCATTTTTAAAACACAAAGCTTGCTAACGGAAAGAAACTGATGCTAGAGCAGAGGAAGCATAAGTTACCTGCTGTGCTGAGACGCATCCAGTGCCAGGAAGCGAAGAGTTGGAAATGCCCGAGGTAAAGAATTAAAATGAGGTGCCAGACTGGCAGAAAAGCGGCACCACGGCGTATAGAACAAGACTAATGTACAGTCACTGCTGTTTGCATTTAAGAACTCCATCAGGTCCTTAGAGAAAGCAGAAGAAAACCAAACATGGACAATTACATATTTAACAGAGTTAAATCCCACATAGGAACGCATCATTTGGCAATTGACTAGATACTTGACAATATTTATCAAGTAGCTGCGCATTTGTTTAACCTGTTTAAAGCAGATGGAGAATTGTATTTAATATTTTTTAAAGGTTGTTTTAAAAGTTTATTACTTAAAAAAAAATATATATACGTAACCATTACAAGAAACGAGCTAGAGACAGGCACTGGCAGTAAGCGTCAAAGTTTTCAGAGAGAGACACTAATCCATGCAGCATGACAGTTGGCAGGTCACTGCAGGCACACAGAAGATGAGAGATAGGGGCATGTGGACTGAGCCGTATTTCCGTTTTCTTCTGCTCAGAACAACACGAAAAACCGCCTTGCCCAGACATTTCCTCTTTCCGACAGCCCAGAGGATGTTACACGCAGAAATTTGCTACGTCAAACGCTTGACAGAAACACGCACAGGGTGCTGAAGGGGCATCATCCACCACCCTCAGCGTGTTCAGAATAACGCCAAGCAGTCGCCCGGGGGATGCACTTACCTGAGACACGTTCAGGATCTGCAGGGTGAAGCGGTCGATGCCGGTAGTGTTCCTCTCCTCGCAGTTCACTTTGGGAGCTTTGGTGCCGTCGGTGCTATTCGATTCCTCGGCGGGCGCGGGCAGCACCGTTTCCAGCACGGCCTGCTCCCGGCCCTGCCCGCCCGCCGGGCCGAGGCCGGCCGTCGGGCCGCTCCCCGCGCCGCACACATCACCTCCTGCCGCCGCATCGCAAGCTCCCTTGGCGACGGCGGACGTCTGGCCGTCCCTCGCCTCCCCCGGTACCACCGAGAGCACCACGGCCTGCTGCCCGGGGAGCCCGCTGCCCAGCATCGCGTCCGCCATCTCCGCAGTCCGGTACCGCACCGGCTCGCCACCGCCACCGCCCCCGGGGGAGCGGGGCTGCCCGCCTGCGCTCTGCTCCGTCACCGCCCCTGCGCCGGGAGGGAGATGTCAGCTCCGCGCTGCGGGCCGAGCCCCGGCCATCCCCGCGCAACCGCCCGCCACGGGGAGGCCCCGCGCACGCCTCCCGGCCCCTAGAACCCACCGCGGCTGCCGGAGCCGAAGCCCACCGGCCTCACCTGCAGGAAGGGCCCTACCGAGCCAGGCCAGCACCAGCAGCAGCAGCAGCCGCCGCCACCACCACATCCTCGGCCCCGGCCGCCACCGCAGCTCTGCGTCTCCCCGGACAACGGCCGCTTCCGCCGGAACTATGGGCTACTTCCGCTTCCGGCGCGCCGCTGCCGTGCGTGCGTAGCGCCGCCAAGGCGCCGCGCCGCCATCTTGTCTTGGCTGGGGCGGAGGCGGTAGCGGTGGGGGCGGCTGGGCTGGGGCAGCGGTTCTGCTCGGTGGCCGGCTCTGGGCGCTTGCTGTCGGGAGGGCGAGCTGCGCCCAGCGTGCGCTCTACCTCCTCCGACCGCTCGCCGTGGTTGTACTTGTGTGGCGGGAGGCCTCCGGGCGGGAGGGGGGGAGGGAAGCGCAGGCCGCAGCGGCAGGGACACGATGGCTAGAGCCGCGTTCGTCTGCCAGCTCCGAAGGATCTTCAGGTGAGGGGACAGAAGCCGGCTAGGGCTCAGAGAGCAGGGCAAGACAAACAGAATGAGGGAAATGAAAAGGAAACATCATGTTGACAAGCTGCCCCCCCCCGCCCCCAGCTGCTGCTGAAATTCAGTGGAATACATGCAAGAATTGTTTGAACTTGCAGAGTACCAGGCTATTTGGATTTTAATTATACATATATATTTTTTTAATAATAGAACAGGAGGCCCAGAGAGGTACAAGTGTGAACAGATGAATTTAACCTCTTGCTTACTGCCCTAGAAAGAAATTTTAGCATGTGTGTGAGAGGGGACCTTGCGCGCAGAGTATCAAAGCGCACACCCCAGTCTCGCCTTGAACTCTGTTTTGTGTTGGTCAGCTCAGCTGAGGAGAACACAATGACAGCACCGAAACAGAGTATGAAGTACAACAAAGGCCTGATACTGAGGTGTCTTTTTACTGATCTGTCTTTTTACTGAGCCATCTCGTGCCAGCTTGCTTTTAAGCAATCCTGAATTATAAATGTGCTTCACCTTTGCAGGGTAATTTTAATTGTTCAAAAGGAGGCATTTGTGGTTTTGGGGAAGGTCAGGAAGGAGGCAACATGATAGCAGGGAACCAAACTGCAGCATCTACAAGTTAGGAGTACAGAATTGCAATAAACTCTGTCAAACTTGCTCTTTGGAAATGCAAATAAGACCAGGTCCCAGTCCCTGCCAGTATTAAATACACAGTGGTTTGGTTTTAACCATGTTTCCTCGTCAGTTTGGCTGAACAGGGGGACTCAGCAGTGACGCACGTTCCTTCACGCCATTTTCGCAGCCCAGGGCCAAGTCCACCAGCAACTGTACGACACGGTGTAACAGGACACGCTGCAGGGGCTAAGTTTCAGTCTGCTAACACTGCTGGAGGTCAGCAGGCATTTCACTGTTGTTTTAAATTAGTTCAGGTCAAAAATTCTTGCAGCAAGGGAAATGTCATCCTGAGGACTTGACAGGATGTTATGATTGAAGGGTAATTAAGAGGGCACACAAACGCACCCTGTAATTCCTTCCCAAAGCGTGTTTCGTTATAACCCGGTATCGCAGCCCTAAGGGCCTGCTGTGACCAGAACTGCACAACAGCCACAGCTCCCTCCCAAAGGATTTGCCTACTTCTACCCACAATAGAGAAGCACAGATTCAGTTTGGGAAGTTTTCACATGAAAACTAAATTTTAACCTACAGCCAGGCTGGAGTAAGGGTAAAAGCCTGCAAACTAAAGGCGTATTTTTTTAAAGCTAAAAAGAAAAGATGAGCTCTTGTCCATCCGCGTATCGACCAAAGCCCCCAAGCTGAAAGGCAGGATAAGTATTCTGGTATTTCTTTTTAGGAGACAATATTCCTCCTCTCACAGGGTTAGTTCTTGCTTTCAGTTTAATAGTGAAGCTTCAGGACTGTTTGGGGCATTCTGAAAATGAACACAGTACTTCAAGTGCTGATACCCCCTTTTTTAGTGTGGTTTTTTAAACTGCCAGCACCACACAATGAGAGTTCGCTGAAACTGCATCTGTCAAGAAGTGAGAATTACGACCTAGGAGATTATGAACCATATACACACACTGAAAAAAAGCAAGGAAAACACTGTACATGTATATAAATGAATATGGGTGTCAGCTTTATTACAGAAATGGGATTTTTGTCTTCCGATTTTATTAGGGGACACTTCTCCAAATCTGTCCTTTCTTATAATGCACATTTTCTTGAATTTTTTTAATTCAAAGTCTATTTGCATAAGCATTCATATTGAGGACATAATAGCCTAAAGATAGAAAACATGAGGTTTGCACATAGAGGAAAAAGACTTAATTAGACCAGCTGATACAGACCAAGCAAGCAAGCTTGAAAGCAAAAGCACGTAAGGAATCCAAGCTGATGTGGACAAGTCAGGAAAAAGCTGCCCCATTCCCAATTGTCCTCATCTTTTGAGTTTGGACAAAACAGCATTTTCAACTTGAAAACAATTTTCCTTCTGGCCAAGGACTGCATGTGGTTCCCAGCTCTCGGCTCTGTGCCATCAGGGTCTAGCGTCTCCATTGCCACAGCCCTGGATGGTGTCAGATCTCGCACACAGGTGATGGATGATATTCCAAACCTTGAAAATAACAGATAGCTTTCTGGCAGCGTACCCCAATTCGAGACACCTCTGTGGATTTAATCCTAGCATAGTATCCTTCCTACCATAACACAAATCAAAAGGTTTGTGCAAAATTGTGGGTTTTATGGTGACTATAATAAGTAATCTATTAATGGAACACAAATGAACTCCCAAGAATTATAAACAGTCAGGCTTTATCATACCTAACTCACAACAAATGTACTATCCCAGTGCTTATGTATTACAGAGAAGGCACATTTCTTACAATGCCTGCCAGTTCTGTTGCAAAACTGTTTTCAGCGGCTTACATTTTTCTGATTTTTAATGCCAAATGTCTGTTTTCAGGAAAAAGTCTAGTAAAAAAAACCCCAACATTGTTTTGCATCTATTCAAAAATCTTGGACACATTAGAAAAGCTGTTTGCTACAGAATAATCTGAATTAGCAAAGAGGAGGATTTGCAAAATATGAGTCTTTTGCTGCACCCATGAATAAACACCAAAACTTGGTGGTCATTTGTGCATCATAGATTTCTGCAGCTGGCCTTCTCCCCTCCTCAGATTTCAGTCACACTGGGCAACGTGGCAAGAGAAGGAGCGAAAGAGGACACGGACTGGGACAAAGAGGCAGCGCCAGGACCTTCTCCAAGACCGAGGTCTCCACTCACATATAATCCCAACATCCTCACAGCTACAACGTTCTGTGTGTTCAATAGTGCAAAGATGAGGTAGAAGAAAACATGACAAGCATTGAAGTCAGGAGCACAGGCTGAGATCGCACAGGCAACTTAAACCTACACCTAAATTTGGGATGTGTGACTTTGTAATCTTTGTTTTCTCAATGTTGCTGCAGTTGACTATTTAAAAATACAACCACTTGAAGCAGTAAATACACATTTTAGTATTATGCATATCTCAAAGGCCTACTCTAAGTAAGTAATCAGACTTGCACTAATTGTGATATTTTTTCACTAATTAGAACAAGCTTCTGTGGTATGAAAACAACAACATGAAAGGCAGGAAGATTTATCTGCCTCAGATAATTTAAACAACACTTAAGAATTCCACAACATTTTTCAGCTTCAAAGTAGTTAAAAGTTGTTAACTAATGATTCCTTCCAGCAACCCTGCAAGATAAGCAGGTATTTTTGCTGCCTTTTTACCGATGGGAAAAAGGAGACATTGCCATCCCTAGGCCAAGCAGGGAACCTGGGCGAGAGCCAGCTCCAGAACGCGGTAGCTTTTGGGCTGCCAATTCTGTATGGTCAGGCCACACCTCTCTCTTAAATGTTAAACAATAAACACAGAGCCACAGGCAGAACCTGATAAAAATAGCATGCAATGCAAGGCAGCGAGTCAGTCCTGTCCTTTAGGCATTACAGCTTTAAATGATTAACTGTCAAGAACAGTCTTAATTTGTCTTGGTCCAAAAAACACACTCTGCTGAGCCGGCATATTTAACAGGTACGATATCACTAATTCACACGTACTATTTGTGCTACTTTAAGAGGTAACACCGCGGAGGTACAAAAGCATAAAAATGCCGGTCCAGCCCCTAAGCAAGCCTTGGTGTCTTACTATACACGTAGATGAAATTATTAAAAGATATAACCATCTTAAAGGCTCCTTCAAGATGTCCAGCTAGCATAGCTGACACCCCAACACTGCTAGTCTGTCAACATGAATAAATCATAAATTGGACCTGTCATCAGAAACAGCACCTGGCCTCGCACACCAGCTGTGTATCGAGGGAACAGACTGCGTTGCAACTTTTAGCATTCAGTTCCTTACATGGCAGAGAACACAGCACCCATGGAAGCAGTTCAGCAACTCCCAACAGAGCTGAAAAGCCTGTATTCTTGTACAATATAATTTATGACTTACTTAATATCTAACACTTGAGGTTTCATTACAACCAAGAAAATAATCCATTTCGCTCAAGGAATCACATCCAGGAACTGATTTTTAGACCAGGATGTAGCAGACTGTAGTCAAACTCTGTTCTGAACATATCCAGTCACCGTGAAGGCCAAATATTTAGAATTAGCAGGATGGCCAACCAAGGGGGGGGGAAAGCATCAGATGTCTTTTTCAGGTAAAAGCAACTTAAAAGTCTGCAAAATAACTACAACTGACATTTAAAAAGTTTCAACCCTAGATGTATTCAGGGCCTTCAAAAGTACATGGAAGAGAAAACGAGGGTGCTGGAGAGCAAGGGGAGGACGCAGACCAAGCACAGTCTAGATTACAGCTTCTGGTAGGTAGGACTACTCACCTTCCCCCAAAGTTATTGAAAAACTTCAGTAGTGAAAAGAAAAGAGAAAAAAAAAAAAAAAGAGGGGTTGGGTGGTATGCAGAGCACATGTTACCAACAAAGATAATTTGGAATATTGCTAGAATACAGGGATAAATACATCTTATTCATCACAGAATAATGAATAATGACCACCATTCCATGAAGAGTTTAGTTTATGGGTACTCTCAAATTGATTTCATGTGCAACAGAGGAGAAAAAAGTCAGCAGCTTACTATTTATACGTACAGAGCCATAACTCCTTTCCACCCCTCTTCTCATATTTGAGTGAAAGGGTAAGAACAATTAAGTTACTGTAGCAGCATTTTCAATTCATTAAAAAATAATCAACATTCCTCTATTTTCTGATACCTTGCAATTCATACAGGCTTTTTGCCTTAATTCAAATACATGGGACTTGCCTTAACAAGCAATACACATCTCACATTGAAATTCAGAAAGCAAAGTATACTGAAAGGGTGGGCTTATTTATTCAATTTAAAAATCACACAACACAGCAGCCTCCCAACTCTCACAAATCCTGTGTGCATTTTAAAGTCCACACAGGCATGAACACACTCGATCTACTGCAGTTGGATTCAATTACGCTTCAGGGAGGCAAGGGACAAACACAACAAGCCACTGGATTTTAAGTGAAATCTGTACAAGGTGTACCAACACATTTCAGTGCCAGTTCAAGTCACTTAACTATGACTGAGACGTCAGGAGAACAAACAGCACTTCTATTTACCAGAGAGAAGGGCTAAGGCTATTGGTCTAGTAATGCTGTCAACAGGCATCTTCAACCAGAGTTTAGAAGCTATTAAAAAAAGCCCAGAGAAAAAATTGTTAGGTTTTAAAGTATTAACTTTATTAATAAATATACATCCATATGATGATGTAAATACAGATCATGAACACTACTCCATTCCCATACACATAATTGCACACGAGTAGCTCAAGTTCATGGACATAGAAACATACACAGTATCTAATCAGGCTTTTTACAGCAGAGGACGGGGTGCTGATACTAGTTATTTAACAGATTACTGTTTCCCCCAAAGTAAACCTGTGGAAAAGCAAATGATGAAAGATTAAAGTATCAGAAAGTGGTTCAAATTTCAGAATACAGATTTTTTCTATTTGGAAAAAAAAAATCACAAGGAGAAAGGTCTAGTCTCTACTGAAGTCATAAATATATTTAAGCAGTGTTAAAATATATGCATTAAAATAGAGAAGAATAAACTTCTTTTGTGGTCAGAAATGAAGTCTGCAATTTGAAGTATTTATGATTGTTACCAACTGTTTTAACTGTCAACTCTAAGGATAGCATGAAACATTATTATACATATAACAAAGAACAGCAGAGTCACAGCTGATGAAACCATCGGACAAATGACTTCACATTGCTCTGCCTTTTAAAGCTCTTCAAAAATGGGGGAGGGAGTTAAATTCTCATCTGAATTACTCTGTGTATTGTAGTTCCAAGTAATTCTTTTCACAGACACATCACTTTTCACTGACAAGGCTTGGTTTTGTCCTGACTGAACTCTAAGATCTTTCAGACAAAATGAAAATATATTCATTCAGAACAGAGATCTTCAATGGCTCTTGATACATAGTTATTTTGATTAGTTTAAACTAAATCCAAGATATAAAGAACATTGCTTTAATGACAAAGCTAACTGCTGATTTTAAAAATACTATCTTTGATATCAAAGTCAGCCACTTCTGATGGTATCTGATTTTTTTCTGCCAAAATATGGTGCTAGCATCTTGAATATGTCCAGTGCAAGACTTTATAGTAGCAAAATTATTTGGTTTTAAAGTTTAAGTAAATTTAGTCAGAAACTGAATAGTAGTTACTATATGTATATTAAACAGTGAACTTGTATAGCATCATTAAGGAATAATAGCAAGCTAATATATTTCATTTGTGCATAAATAAGACGTTAGAAACTTGATAATTAAAAGAAATTATTAAAAAACAAACTTGACATGTAGATCTTCTGAACAGTGTTAACACACAACAGTGATCCTAGCTTATGAATAGCTGAATTATGATATATAATATAAAATAAGCAATTTACCTTACAAGTAACGTTTTCATACTATGGGGGGAAAAGGCCAGTTTTCCCATTGGTACTAATAAAGTTTAGGCATTAACATGCTGTTTCAGTGTTTCTCATGGAAAGAAAGGTGTTGGAAAAAAAAGCACAATGTATTCTGCAGATTATACATAGGAAAAGCAGAAATATTTGAAAATTCCACTTCTAGTTCACTTTGAATCTCTTAACTTCTTTTTTCTTCCCCTCACTGCATGGCACCAGTAAACTATAGTCAGAGAAAAAATAAACCAGAATTAGGAAATGCCCAGCAGTGCACTTCTGGTCTCCTTGCTAAATCTAGAGTGCCAGGCAGCCCATTACAGACTCTCTGAACACTTTTCTACTTTATGCTCATCATTTCACAATTGACAACGTTAATTGTTTTTTACTGGGATTATATTCCATCTGATATAATTAATAAACACTGTAATGAACAGAAATTGCTTAGATGATTTCATTATTTCATCAGCATACTTGAATACAAAATTCATTATACTAGCAGAACAGCAATACATCTGCATTATCTCCTGACACACAGTACAGCACCATTGAGTAGATGCACAAGTGAGAAACCGAACAGGAGCAAACAGGATAAACAGGAGGAGGTAAGAAGTGGAGTTTCTCCAAGGTACAGTGGTGACATGCAACACGTTCCTTGCCAGCGAGGTGTGACTCTCCTGCAGTTATTACATTCAGCTGAAGAGGACTGCTTTCCCAGCTGAGTTCAGGAAAGACTTAAAGCAGTCTTTTGTTGAAAAATCATCTGATTAAAAATTCCCAATACAATACAGATCCTGAGGGTGAATTAACTCATGTTAGCATTTTGCATGTGTCAGAAGTTACATCATTCTGAGAAAGACTGCTAAATTTCAGACTTGCGAGTTTGTTGAGGAACAGAATGTATAACTGGATTTCATAGCTTCAGCACGAAGAAACTATTTTTTAGTAGCAGTTTAGCTGCCATTAGTTCATCTATCGACTAAGGAGCCATCCAGTATAGTTGAGGTTCATTGTCTTAGTTGCCAGTGCATACACAGTTCCCCCAAAACAATTCAACACACCTATTGTAAAGTACAGCATAAAGTCCAGCTCAATATGTGTTAGGCATCACTGGAACACCTGAAGGCTTGCTGCTTTTTTCCTGATAAAAAAGGTATGAAACATGACATCTGTTTCTTAAGTTGTCATCACTGAAATCAAGAGTTCTCATCAAAATGACAGCAGGCCAGAATAGCATTTATGTTAACAAAAATTATCAGCATCATTACTCATTCAGCACAGGCTCAATTAACCCAAATTTTTATGCTCCCCCAAATCTGCAAACTCTGTATGTTCCCCCTCCCCAGATATTTGAAGCTACACATTTATCATAATGTCATATTATATGTGAAACAACTTAAACATAAACTTTCTTCTGGGGGGGGGGGGGGGGGGGGGGGATATTACTCGGGG